CGCGCCCGGGATCCAAACCAGCGAACCCCGGGCCGCCGCAGCGGAGCGCGCGCACTTAACCGCTTGCGCCACCGGGCCGGCCCCTGATTTTTTTATATATGTTGCTTCTTTCCTAGCTGTGTCCACTGAAAAGACTTCAAAGCAAAGACAACTCAATGACAATGAGCACTCCTACATCTAAATTCTAGTTTAGGAATATCGTTTCCCAATAAAAGGACCCAGAGCTACTTGGAGATATGGCTGTTCCATATTTGTTGCAAGATAAGTACAAGGTAAGCTTGAGACATCTTCTCCCAGAGAACAGAGAAGCTTTCAAAGCCAAATGAAGATGACACAGAAGCCAACCTGGAGAACTCCCATTGGCCTAAAATGGGACAATTTAAACACCAAAAGGATTAATGACTGCAATGGACCGAAACATATCAAATATATTTTGTAAAAACTGTTAATTTATAATTATACCAAAAACAAAACAAATGGCTAAATAAAACACTTCCTGATTACCTTCAGAAATTGCTAGGGTGCCAATTCATTACTCTGAAAGATGGTGAATCAAGTGAAAGAATCAACCACGTATTCTGACCTTCTTGTATGAATTAAATATTAGGTTACCTAAAAAGTAAACAATGAAGAGGCCTTCTTTGTAGAGGACTTCCAGCTGATAAATGTGGATGCAGGACGATAAGATCAGAAAGTTGCCATTTTGCAACCCCTAATGAAATAGTGAATCTGAGAATTGATCAACGGACATTAAAATCTTAGGTGAAATTTTATTGTGTACTATTTAATGGAGGGATAGAACCCAAACCTCAGAAATCCTCTGATCAGTCTTAACATCACTAAACACTGGGCAACTAGCATTATGTCCCTCATGATATGATGCAACGGGGAAGACAGAGCACCAGCTGGTATGTGATCTTGCCTGAAACAATGGAACTAAATCTAATCAACCCTAATACAACCACCAGTACATGGAAAAACTGGGGATAGAAGAAGTTATGTGGCACCAAGAGGAAACAATGAGCCAAATCCAGAATGCAGACATTATACAGAAAAAACTATTTCTCAGGGCTGGCCCAGTGGCGTACTGGTTAAGTTCACGTGTTCCTCTTTGGAGGCCCAGGGTTCATGGTTCAGACCCTGGGCACGGACCTACACACCCCTCATCAAGCCATGCTGTGGTGGCATCCCACATACAAAATAGAGGAAGATTGGCACAGATGTTAGCTCAGCAACAATCTTCCTCAAGCAAAAAGAGGAAGATTGGCAACAGATGTTAGCTCAAGGCCCATCTACCCCCACACACACACAAAAAAGCAACAATTTCTCCACAAATCAATGGTATAAAAAAGAGGAAGGAATCTGTTACAGAATAAAGAACCTGAAGAGACCTGAAGAGTCACGTGCACACTATGACCCAGTTAGGACGGTGCTTCAAGCAAAGCAGCCATAAAAAGACATCTTTGAGATAATCACAGAAGTTTGAACATAGGTGGTTTTTAGGTTTCATTAGGGTATGATCGTTGGTTATGATAGGTATTATAGCCTTATGCACTTAGATTAAAAAGTCATTATTACTAGGACAGGCATGCAAATATTTACAATGAAATGACTTCATGTCAGGATTTCCTTCAAGATACTTCAACAGACAAGTAAAGGATTTAGAGGTAAAAAGTAGGGAAATTAGATGAAACAATTATCAGAAAGTATTGATAATAATTTCATCTGGGTGACCAATACGTGGTGGTTTATATACTTTTCTGTTTAATTGCATCCTTTTGAAATTTTCAGTAACATGCATTTTGTTTAAGCAATAAAGTCGGTTGTTACACTGAGCAGAGCATAGACATGTTTTTGTATTACATTTCTAGCGAAGGTAAATATGACATGTTGTGGAAACCCTTTAGATGACTCACAATATGGTTCTAGGGAAGGGAGAGGCCCTGGGGACAATGACACCTGCATTGAATGAAATTGTTTCATAAAATGTGAGAGATGAGAAAGTAGTGTTTCTAATTTGACTCAATATTTTAATTAATATGATATTTTAATATAAATATGCAAATGGAAGATTTCTGAATATAACCTAATTGAGTAAAAGGAGGCATTTCCCCCTTCTCGGAAATTACCTAAAAGCTACAAGAAGAACAAGAAACATAAAGGTAAACGCCACCCTCAACCACCACAAGGAAAATATCTTACAATCCCCAAATCAAAACAACAGAAGAATATTCTCGCAGAAACAGAGACATACTAACATGATTGTTAGGGGTTTGCCCTCAGCTGCAGATCTCAGAAGAACCCAGTCAAGAACATTCCCACAAACACATCAAGACCAACAACACGGTGACCACGATGGAGCACCAAGCAAAGCTGACGCTGGGTTTTCACTCCTGCCCGGGACTGTCGCCTCATGGAACTCCTACATGTCAGTGTAGAGGACGGGTCCTCAGGTGCAAATCCAAGAATAGCCTGTTTGCCACAGTCTGAGCTGGGTGTGTGGGCTGGAGGCAAGACCCCATTTGTCAGGAAGTCTCTAGAAATGGTGAAGGCAGGGTTGAAAAGGAATCAGAGTCAAGGCCTATGGCAGCATTTTGTTGGTGAAGCGAAGAAAGCTGAGACTGTGACTTTGAGCCACTGGGCAGTGATCTTTGTTGGTTTAGCTGAGTTAAAGAGTAAAAGAATTATTCACACAGTCCTGTGTCATAAAGACAATCCTGTTAGCCTGGATATGGCCTTGGCCCCTCCTCCTCGAATACTTTTTGCAAATGGCAGGTCCAGAAGTTGCTCACCTCATTCAAGGAAGGGCATGAGTCACAAATGAACCATTGCAAGACCCACAAAAGATTCTTTACATTAAAAAGTGCAGGGAATGGGAGAAACAAAAGACACAAAAAACAGAAAAGTCACAATAAAATAGTACTAAAGAATTCAATGAAGCAAACACTGTGATAAAATAAGGGAACAAAGGGGCAATGTAGTGAGACAATAAAAGATAAAAACATTAGCTTGTAGAGTGCAGAAAAGGAGCAGAAAAAATAAATAAAGCCACAATAGAAATGAAGGCCAAATTGAGAACAGCACAAAGAGGAAAAGACATTGCTGAATGTCCAGTAATGGATGGACAGGAACAGGTGGAGAACAGCAGCGGTTATGAAAGACCAATCAGAGTGCAGAAGAGAACCAAGAGAAACACAGATATGGGATAAAGCAGATACAACACAAGCATAATGGGAATAGAGAATATATGTGTGTGTGTGACATATATATATGCATATATGTAGTGAACTATACATATATATGCAAAAAATATTGTATACTCATATGCATATTTTATATATATGAAACACACACTCACAAGCCAAGGAAAAGCACCAAAATACATCCAAGTGATTAGCTAAAGGACACACCAGGAACTAGACACTGCTTGCCTCCGTATGCACAAATTGGGTGGCTGGGGTAGGGCCTTGAGCATGTATTTTGTTTCTTAAACATGCATTACTTATTTAATTTTAAAAGATATATATCAGTGTGTAAGTAAAAACATTCAATATATAAACAGGCATTCCTCTCCATCTCCATCTGGAAAGTTGAAAAATATCCCTGATTAAGCTTCTAGTTTAGCTCTCTACAGGATTACAAAGGACACAGCAGCCTGTTAGGACACACCATGAGTGTGCAACTAGAAAACTCCAAAGAATGAAAAGGAGCACAGGACAAAT